ACAACATTATTGATATTGCTAGGTTGTAACGGTGAAGATATTGGAGGTAAACTTCATTACCTTGCAGTACAATTACTCTATGAATATAGGAATAAATGCCGCGAGCTTGTAGTTCTGAGTTGATTGTTCAAATGTTGTGCATGAATTGTAAGATACTCACCTCTCCGAGGATTTGATTTCTATGCAACCTGCAATGTGTGCCAGACAAAAACTAAATTTATGAGGCACTGAACATTTCAAAGTAAAATCCTTCAATAAAACCTACACTTAGCGTCCATGCTTTTTGCTCCGACGATCGCGTTCGGAGAGTACGTGCTCAAAACTAGTTGCCAGACCCTTTTAGTTCCCTTTACTCCCCCATTTTGAATTCTTCGGTGGGTTACCGCTGTAAACCAGTTCCCCGTTCCCTGTTCCCCGTTCCCCATTACTAGTTTTAGTAACATCCATTGTCATTGATGCCAGGAGGTCTAGTCTTCTTAGTGGTTTGTGGTTTCAGGAAGCGAGATAATCTCCTAGCGTGGCGCTAGTTGTTTACAAACCTTTAGGAGCTAAAATCTCACATTTGATTTTGAGAGGAATACATCCACTTTGAGCGAATTTATAGGGTATGTATAGGGATAGGACCGATTTTCGTGAAATTTCGCCAAAACATTCCTGGGATGATGACGAACAAAAGTGTGTCAGGAAATTTTGATCTTTGAAATATTTTTGACGTGATGTCCATTTGCGCAACACGCTTCGCATAATTTTCGCTACCCTCACTTTAGATGCGAATATCTAGACAACCAATCAGAATAACAGAAAAGCCTGACACGCTTTTGTTGATTGATGCCTTGTGAATGAGACTATGCAGCCATTTTTCTCGTGCCGCGGGATCTGATACCCGATAAATTCAATAGAAAGACCCTCGGTCGTTTCACGCCTTACCGGCTCCTGACACTTCCTAAATGAAAAAATCGCCTAAGTTATATTTCTAACGTAAACTGCATTTATTAAGCTTTGTTTTGATGTATAGTTTGCGAGAGTTTTCTTCAAACTAGCGCGTGTACGAATTTTTTCCCGATGGACACCCGCGAAGGTAGGAAGTAACCTCAATCCAATCCAAGGATGTAGCTGCTAAATATCTCTCTCGGCTTTGTCTTCAGTTTGAACGTTGATCAGTTCAAAAATAGGTTCGCAAACACTCTCAATTTTTCCTTTCCTTTCCAATTTACCTCACTTATGAGTTTGCAGCCTATTGTAAACGAGCTTGTAACTTGCTCGACCTATAAAATTGTGTCACCAAAATAATTTTTATGTCTGTTTAAAGAGAGAATGTTTTTTATCAATTGTAGCCAGAGTGAAGCCGCTCCCTTCTCTCCAAAACAAAATCGGGAGGGTGAGGGGGGAGGGAGACGGCTGTGCACAGGCTATGACAATTGATGTTAGTAACAACACCTGTTAAGGGGAAGATTATAAAAGTACATTAGAATTGTAAAGAATATTTTGATTTTTAAAAATCATCTCGCTTAGTAGTATTGTATAAACTATTCTAAACATTCGTGGATCTGAAACAAATCTAAACTAGATGAAATATTCCACCTGATGCGCGTAAACGAATTGGTGTTCCTTTGAATTTGTCTCTTGATCCTGCTCTGGAAAGAATTCCCTGGTTTGTGTGAGACAACACAGACAACAGATCAGCTAAGGGTATTATAGTCCTTTGAAGAATATTGAGCCTTTCTGATATTACGGTTCTTTGGATCAACGTTTATCAATAATAGTGAAAGCTTTTTACTCAAAAAAGATTAGAAAGAAACCAGATCTTAGTATCTAGTATCCAGCTTTATTGCTAATTTCATCCTTAGAAAGGCTAATAATGTAAACACCAAGTTATCAAAGAGATGAATTTGGACAAGGAATCCCAAAACCTTAAACAGTTTTCGATGATTGAGGAAATACTATCACTACAACTATGCATAAGCAGTTAAGACTCTTGGTCATCACGCTTTTCGTCTTTTGTCCCAGTCCTTAAACCCACTTATATAAAACGCTGTTTATGTTGTACCTCTGATTATAGGAATTCGCCGCTGCCAGATAAGTGTGTCCTATGTACTCAAATGATGTCATATCATACGCTCCATGCGTGGAAATCTCTTGGTACTTAGTGAACTGTGCTCCAGAGGCCTGGTACACAGTGGACTGAGTGTTGTGTTTCTGGCTGCTGTCGTAGTAGTTGGCCACACCTAAAAAGGTATGACCGCTGATCACGAATGGATGCCAAGCGAAGGCCCCACGAGTAGGAATGGACTGGAACAGAACGAACTTTGAGCGATCCCATTTGTAAATAAACGAGTCAGTGTTGTGAGAACTTCCAGAGTAGTGGCAGGAAAAAGCGAGGAATGTGTGACCATTGATGGTGACACTCTTCACGTCAAAGGCACCGTAAGATTGAAGAGACTGTAGTTTGACAAAGTGTCCTCCTGACCATTTGAAGACAGTGGACTGAACAGAATACTTTTGTTGAGAATTGTGATAGTTGGCGAAAGCGATGAAAGTGACATTGTTTATTTGAAATGCCGTACACCCGAAGGCACCTTCAGTTGCTATCTCTTGGAACTTGTTGAATTTGCCGCCGTTCCATTTGTAGATGACTGATTTTATAGAGTAGGTACTTCCGTCATAATAGTTTGCAACTGCAAGATATTTTTCATCATTCAATGTGAAGAACTTGAAGTGTGAAGCTCCTTTTGTTGGTAATTTCTGGAATACCAAAAACCGCTGTCCATTCCACTGGATC